AAAAACACCATGCCACTGATAATAGACATTAAGTTATCATAAATTATTTAATGCTTATTATTCATTACTTAATATTTAAGTAACTTGTATTGGCTACTCTCGGCCTTTCCCGCTCTTCTTGGTTGTCTCACAAGGGTCCACTCTAGAACCAGTCGTATTTATGCTTAGTTAAGGACCTCTCTTAGTCCGTAAACACTAGTTAACACCTAAGATGATGTGAACTGTGAAAAGACAAATTTAAATGAAGATATGATCGTCGCAGTGGTAATTGCAATTTAAGGTATTGCAAATTAAGTCAATTAACCCGAAAAAATTTCAGGACTTCAACGGCATTCGAACCCATGGCCTCTCCGTTTTAGCGCTGCAGTAAGCTGCAGTGCTCTTATACCATTTGAGCTATGAAGACCCATACATTGGAAGCAGGCCAATTTGTTGCGTTCATTTTAAACTGTGAAAGGAATAAACACGAAGATGATGTGAGCTGCGGAAATACAAATTTAAATGAAGATTTGAGCTTCGCTGTGGTAATTGCAATTTAAGTAATTGCAAGTTAACCGCAGCGCTAACGCAGAGGCCATGGGTTCGAATCCCGTTGAAGTCCCGAATTTTTTTTTCTGGTACCGGTGAATTTGCAATTACCACTGCGACAATCATATCTTCATTTAAATTTATATTTCCGCAGTTCATATCATCTTCGTGTTTCATTCCTTTCATGGGTTAAGATGAGCTCGACAATTGGCCTGCACCCAGTGTATGGGTCTTCATAGCTCAATCGATAGAGCACTGCAGCGCCAACGTAGAGGCCATGGGTTCGGATCCCCTTGAAGTCCTACAATGTTTTTCGGGTTAATTTGCAATTGCTTAAATTGCAGTTACCAGTGCGACGATCATATCCTCATTTACACTAGTTAACACTGTCAAACCGCACGGCTATCAGCTTTTATAGACAACACTTAAGCCCTCCTGGCATTTCAGAAAAAAAGAGAATTTTCAAAATGGATGCAGCTGCTTTACTAAATCAGGCTCTTAAACTTCGATCTGAATTACTATCATTGATCCGGGATCCAAGGAAATGGTTTCCAGATTAAAATATAACTGTTTGTTAATTACCATTATTCTTTATTTTAACAGCAGATTTAATTCTACGCTGGAATGGCTCTGCAGCCTTACCGGGACGAGGATTTAAATTTTTTCAAATTCGCGTCCCTTGTATTGAATGAATTTCCAAACGTCCTGAGACAGACATTTAAAACCATGTGGGACAACACCTATGGACATCGCCCTGGCTTCCAGCTCTGGGATGATTCCCCTGCCGTGAGAAATTTGTTTTCCGCTACAGAAGGTGGCAGAACCAAAGTTCTTGTCCTTCGATCGTATCACGAATGGGATTGCACTGCTTTGTTCCAGGCCACTATCTATTCGCGAGCGTTCGCTGTACATCACGGAACGCTAAATGACGTTTATGTTAAGCCCCGTGGATTAACACATGGCCATTTTCATCCGTCTGTAGTGAGCACGACTGGAAACAATGCGGAAACCTGTGCACTAGCGATAGATCAGTTACGCCTTCTGAGGAATTCCGTTTGCCACTCAACAAGTTCTGAGATGAAAAAAGTAACCTTTGACCAGTACGTGAAACACGCCAAAGACGCGTTCCAAGCGCTGGGTGTCTCGACGGTTCCAATTGATGCTGCTGCTAGTTTATTAGAGTCAGACTTTCCCACAAGTAAAGTCCGCAGACTTGAGCAGGCTATCAATGAAGAGAATAAATCGTACATAAAATTTCTTGAGGGCGTGAATTCAGACATTGCAGAGTTGAAGAAGAAAGTGGAAAGCGATATTGCTAGCAAAGAAGACGTCGCCATGTTGGCACGAAAAATAGATGAACTCAAAGCTATGCAAGACGTCAGTGATAACAAAGAAGACATTAGTATGTCGGTGAGGAAAGAAGGTGAGTTAAAAAGCTAGTGTAAAGAAAAAATGCGCAACTCAATTAACAAAGCTTCTCGAGCTAATCTGCCCAGTTGAAAATGTAACTGAAATCCTAAGCAAAATATTTTAATCATCTCCAAAACTCTAAATTTGATTGTATTGGACTTGAAAGAAATCCACCTCTTATCGGCTCTTGCCAAGGCAGGAAAGTAATTTACAGATTCATTAGATACAAAGTGCAGCGAGGGTCTTAATCGAGGCCGGAGAAATAACTCGTGAGTCATTTGTTTGAGATTCCCAGCGGTAGCTTTTGTCCGCTGCTGATTTTTACTTTGCACACCGAGTTACCGGCTATATCTGCATTATACATGGTCAATTTGAATTCCCTATAATTTCGTCCTCAGTAAGAATTACTTCTTTTTATGCCTCTCTGACATTGTTGATATATTGGCGGTTCCATACAAGATAAAAAATCTCAAAACAGTAAAAATGAAGGGTATGTATCCCAAACTCAGTACCAGAAAGCCCCGACACTCCAAGGGCCAATTTAGCTTCCTCCAATTCCACCCATGATCACGACGTAGCTACTTTTTCCTGTACACTCGTAACTGACTCGTATCGAATGACTCATCTAAAAAATATGCTCTCATTACCCAAACCAAATATCTGATATTCAGTTGCCTTTTTCTCCTTTCAGATATCCCAATATCACTACCCCAATCAAAGTTAAAGGCTGGCAATCGTTTTGCAGAGAACCAATCTTGTGATGATGAAAACATTAATAAACTCGGAATCGAAAAACGTAAGAATCACGATTTCCAATCAGCTCTTCAAGTTCACCGACGTGCGTTGGACCAAAGTACGGCTGACTGTTACTACTCCCTGGGGAGAACACAGCATAAGATGGGTGATTTCAAAGCAGCTCTGCAGTCAAAACAGCATGCGCTGGACATACGTATGAAACTGTTTGGAGAAGAACACCAAAGTACGGCTGACTGTTACTACGAACTGGGGATAACACAGCATGATTTAGGTGATTTCAAAGCAGCTCTTCAATCTCACCAGCGTTCGATGGACATACGTATTAAACTGTTTGGAGAAGAACACCAAAGTATGGCTGACTGTTACTACGAACTGGGGATAACACAGCATGAACTAGGTGATTTCAAAGCAGCTCTTTAATCTCACCAGCGTGCGCTGGACATACGTATCAAACTGTTTGGAGAAGAACATAAAAATGCGGCTAGATGTTACTACGAACTGGGGAAAACACAGCATAAGATGGGTGATTTCAAAGCAGCTCTGCAGTCAAAACAGCGTGCGCTGGACATACGTATTAAACTGTTTGGAGAAGAACACCAAAGTACGGCTGACTGTTACTTCTCCCTGGGGAGAACACAGCATAAGATGGGTGATTTCAAGGCAGCTCTGCAGTCAAAACAGCATGAGCTGGACATACGTATTAAACTGTTTGGAGAAGAACACCAAAGTATGGCTGACTGTTACTACGAACTGGGGATAACACAGCATGAACTAGGTGATTTCAGAGCAGCTCTTCAATCTCATCAGCGTGCGCTGGACATACGTATCAAACTGTTTGGAGAAGAACATAAAAATGCGGCTAGATGTTACTACGAACTGGGGAAAACACAGCATAAGATGGGTGATTTCAAAGCAGCTCTGCATTCAAAACAGCGTGCGCTGGACATACGTATTAAACTGTTTGGAGAAGAACACCAAAGTACGGCTGACTGTTACTTCTCCCTGGGGAGAACACAGCATAAGATGGGTGATTTCAAGGCAGCTCTGCAGTCAAAACAGCATGAGCTGGACATACGTATTAAACTGTTTGGAGAAGAACACCAAAGTATGGCTGACTGTTACTACGAACTGGGGATAACACAGCATGAACTAGGTGATTTCAGAGCAGCTCTTCAATCTCATCAGCGTGCGCTGGACATACGTATCAAACTGTTTGGAGAAGAACATAAAAATGCGGCTAGATGTTACTACGAACTGGGGAAAACACAGCATAAGATGGGTGATTTCAAAGCAGCTCTGCATTCAAAACAGCGTGCGCTGGACATATGTATTAAACTGTTTGGAGAAGAACACCAAAGTACGGCTGACTGTTACTTCTCCCTGGGGAGAACACAGCATAAGATGGGTGATTTCAAAGCAGCTCTGCAGTCAAAACAGCATGAGCTGGACATACGTATTAAAGTGTTTGGAGAAGAACACCAAAGTACGGCTGACTGTTACTACGAACTGGGGATAACACAGCATGATTTAGGTGATTTCAAAGCAGTTCTTCAATCTCACCAGCGTGCGCTGGACATACGTATTAAACTGTTTGGAGAAGAACACCAAAGTATGGCTGACTGTTACTACGAACTGGGGATAACACAGCATGAACTAGGTGATTTCAAAGCAGCTCTTCAATCTCATCAGCGTTCGCTGGACATACGTATCAAACTGTTTGGAGGAGAACATAAAAATGCGGCTAGATGTTACCACGAACTGGGGAAAACACAGCATAAGATGGGTGATTTCAAAGCAGCTCTTGAAGCTCACCAGCGTGCCCTGGGCATACGTATTAAACTGTTCGGAAAAGATCATGAAAGCACTGCTGCCAGTAACCGGGAAGTGGAGAAAACACAGCACGCATTGGATGGCCTGAAAGGAGGGCATAAGTAGTTTTAATTCAGTTCACTGGACTTGCAAATTATTCTTTTGGACAAAATGGTATGATACACTTGAATAAATAGGGTATGTAATATAGTATAAGTTCGCTGTTGTTAAGAAGAATTTTAATAGATTTTGTTGGTTAACTTATTTACCAATTAAGTCTTCACTCTTAACAGAGTTTTGCAGACTTTAAATAATAAAAATTACAACAATGAATAGAACAATAACAAAATTACTAATCAATATGTAAGATTACACACGAATTGCCTAAATGAACATGACGAAGTAGAGGCTATAATTTCTGGTGGGAGATTATTCCACTGTGCAATTGTCCTAATTTAAAAAGAGTTCTTATAATAATGACATGTACTACGTGGCTGTTCAAATCGATGACTGAGAGACGAGAGCCTGGTGTCCATTCTGCTCTTTTGCAGAGTTGAAGAAGAAAGTGGAAAGCGATATTGCTAGCAAAGAAGACGTCGCCATGTTGGCACGAAAAATAGATGAACTCAAAGCTATGCAAGACGTCAGTGATAACAAAGAAGACATTAGTATGTCGGTGAGGAAAGAAGGTGAGTTAAAAAGCTAGTGTAAAGAAAAAATGCGCAACTCAATTAACAAAGCTTCTCGAGCTAATCTGCCCAGTTGAAAATGTAACTGAAATCCTAAGCAAAATATTTTAATCATCTCCAAAACTCTAAATTTGATTGTATTGGACTTGAAAGAAATCCACCTCTTATCGGCTCTTGCCAAGGCAGGAAAGTAATTTACAGATTCATTAGATACAAAGTGCAGCGAGGGTCTTAATCGAGGCCGGAGAAATAACTCGTGAGTCATTTGTTTGAGATTCCCAGCGGTAGCTTTTGTCCGCTGCTGATTTTTACTTTGCACACCGAGTTACCGGCTATATCTGCATTATACATGGTCAATTTGAATTCCCTATAATTTCGTCCTCAGTAAGAATTACTTCTTTTTATGCCTCTCTGACATTGTTGATATATTGGCGGTTCCATACAAGATAAAAAATCTCAAAACAGTAAAAATGAAGGGTATGTATCCCAAACTCAGTACCAGAAAGCCCCGACACTCCAAGGGCCAATTTAGCTTCCTCCAATTCCACCCATGATCACGACGTAGCTACTTTTTCCTGTACACTCGTAACTGACTCGTATCGAATGACTCATCTAAAAAATATGCTCTCATTACCCAAACCAAATATCTGATATTCAGTTGCCTTTTTCTCCTTTCAGATATCCCAATATCACTACCCCAATCAAAGTTAAAGGCTGGCAATCGTTTTGCAGAGAACCAATCTTGTGATGATGAAAACATTAATAAACTCGGAATCGAAAAACGTAAGAATCACGATTTCCAATCAGCTCTTCAAGTTCACCGACGTGCGTTGGACCAAAGTACGGCTGACTGTTACTACTCCCTGGGGAGAACACAGCATAAGATGGGTGATTTCAAAGCAGCTCTGCAGTCAAAACAGCATGCGCTGGACATACGTATGAAACTGTTTGGAGAAGAACACCAAAGTACGGCTGACTGTTACTACGAACTGGGGATAACACAGCATGATTTAGGTGATTTCAAAGCAGCTCTTCAATCTCACCAGCGTTCGATGGACATACGTATTAAACTGTTTGGAGAAGAACACCAAAGTATGGCTGACTGTTACTACGAACTGGGGATAACACAGCATGAACTAGGTGATTTCAAAGCAGCTCTTTAATCTCACCAGCGTGCGCTGGACATACGTATCAAACTGTTTGGAGAAGAACATAAAAATGCGGCTAGATGTTACTACGAACTGGGGAAAACACAGCATAAGATGGGTGATTTCAAAGCAGCTCTGCAGTCAAAACAGCGTGCGCTGGACATACGTATTAAACTGTTTGGAGAAGAACACCAAAGTACGGCTGACTGTTACTTCTCCCTGGGGAGAACACAGCATAAGATGGGTGATTTCAAGGCAGCTCTGCAGTCAAAACAGCATGAGCTGGACATACGTATTAAACTGTTTGGAGAAGAACACCAAAGTATGGCTGACTGTTACTACGAACTGGGGATAACACAGCATGAACTAGGTGATTTCAGAGCAGCTCTTCAATCTCATCAGCGTGCGCTGGACATACGTATCAAACTGTTTGGAGAAGAACATAAAAATGCGGCTAGATGTTACTACGAACTGGGGAAAACACAGCATAAGATGGGTGATTTCAAAGCAGCTCTGCATTCAAAACAGCGTGCGCTGGACATATGTATTAAACTGTTTGGAGAAGAACACCAAAGTACGGCTGACTGTTACTTCTCCCTGGGGAGAACACAGCATAAGATGGGTGATTTCAA